CTAGGCCAAAAGCAAGTGGATATATAAGAGGACATACAAGAATACAGCTTTTCTCTATTGCTTTAACTCAGTTCACAAAACATTTCCCTTTTCAAAAACTCTAAACACAAACTCTCTTTTCAAAACCGACCCATCACACCAAAACAGTTTCTCATATTCTCAAAAGTAAACTTTGACACCAAAATACTTCTCAAGGCCTGCCAAAATGTAAACATTATGAGCATCATTAACCACATTTCCAAAACAATTGAAAACACCATTTTCAGAATGTCAGACTGTTCTTTTTTACAGTTTCACAACTGCCAGGATGTATTTGGGCAACACTTATATATTCTCAAATACAGTTTTTCTCTATTGCTACAACACAAAACCCAGTTTTCTAAACCAAATGACCAGTTTCCTAAACACATTTAATAAAACTAACCCCCACTTTCCACAACCAAAAACACAATTCAGCTGTAGACACTGTTCACAAAACCCATCCCCTTTTTCTCAAAACTCTAAACAATTTTTTTTATTTGCTAAAACACTTTTTTCTTTGCTAAAACACATTTGCATTTATCTCTGCTCCAATACGCATTGTGAAGCTCATGTGATGCAAAATGCCTCCCACAGTCAGTAAACCTGAACACAATGAACATACCTGGTGTCATTCAGTGAACACAACTACCCAGAACTGAACACTCCTGTTGCAGATGATGTGACCACACCTTTATAAGTCAGTGCAGGTTGATGAAGGTTCCAAATACAGTTTTTCTCTATTGCTTAAAACACATTTCACAATACTGCCCTCCCTTTTCTCAAAACTCTAAACACAAACCTCTTTTCTAAAGCTACGTACACACAACAACACAGTCTCTTTTCAAAACCGACCCATCACACCAAAACAGTTTCTCATATTCTCAAAACCAACCCATCACACCAAAATACCTCTCAAGGTCTGCAAAAATGTAAACACTATGAGCATCATTAACCACATCACCAAAACAATTGAAAACACAATTTTCAGAGTGTGAGACTGTTCTTTTTACAGTGTCACACCTGCCAGGATGCATTTGAGCAACACTTTTTTATTCTCAAATATATTTTGGCCATTTACTATCTCATGCGTTTGTATGAGAATAGTTACAAAAAGCAGAAAATGCAGTTATATCACAACTCAATGCAAACATGAGTAACTCTATGGAGGATCCATTACACACAAAAGATACTACAGTACAGAAACTATTGAAAACACAATGTTTAGGGCAGTGCTTCTCAAATAGTGCAGGGGGCGTGGTGCGATGACAGGGGGGGCTCACTATTTGGAGGGAGTGGCAAATAGCGGGGGTGCCCCCCCCTCACGGGGAGCGCGCGTACGTGACCGTGGGACACTTATTGTTTTTTTATGCTCGTGGAACTGGATTCCACATGCTCTGGTGCTGCAAGGGACTGATTCCCATGTGACCAGCGCTGACAGGACAAGTGCTTATCTTTGCGCAACCTGTGGACGCGATAAAGCCACCGCTGTGAGAGAAACACAGCTGAATTATGTGAGCCTCTGGAAGTGTCCCCCATGTCCCCACCTGTCGCCCTGAAACTACAACTCACTAAATTAAAGCTGGGGTACCTACTTTTCCCATGTATTCATAATACATGTTGCTCCTCTCCCTCCTTGACCTGCTCCTCTCCCTCCTTGACCTGCTCCTCTCCCTCCTTGGCCTGCTCCTCTCCCTCCTTGGTCTGCTCCTCTCCCTCCTTGACCTGCTCCTCTCCCTCCTTGACCTGCTCCTCTCCCTCCTTGACCTGCTCCTCTCCCTCCTTGACCTGCCCCTCTCCCTCCTTGACCTGCTCCTCTCCCTCCTTGACCTGCTCCTTCCCTCTTGACCTGCTCCTCTCCCTCCTTGACCTGCTCCTCTCTCTCCTTGACCTGCTCCTCTCCCTCTTTGACCTGGCCCTCGCCCGCCGGGGGCCGGGGCGGCGCCCGGCGGGGCCGGGGCCGCGGCGGGGCGGGGCCGGGGGCCGGCGCGGGGGGGGCGGCCGCGCGCGCGGGGGCCGGCGCGGCGGGCGCCGGGGGGGGCGAGGCGACGTTTGTTTTTTGCGGGGGGCGGGGGCGCTGGAGATTGCCGGGGGGCGGGGGCGGGGGCGGGTAGGTGGGGGGAGGGGGGGGGGCTGGGCTGGGCGCGGGGGGGGGGGGGGGGGGGGGGGGGGGGGGGGGGGGGGGGGGGGGGGGGGGGGGGCCGGGGGGGGGGGGGGGGG